GCTGCAGGCAACCGCGAACTAATGCCCAAACTTGCAAAACAATGCAGATAGGCGATAAAAGAATATCCTAAAGAGAGAACAGCTGCAGCTATGGTCGAAGATGCAGAGCCTGGAAAAATCGTTCTCAAAGTCTACCGAAGCTTCGCCATTTACAAGACCAGAATGATTGGCGCTCCTACGCCTCAGATGGAATAGTTACAGCGTCCAGAAAGGCAATGGAGAAAATTATTCGCGAACACTACTCAGAACTATTCGATAGCCACGTCCACCTTCCATCAGATTAAATAAAGGAGGATGAATATGTTGCACCACTGGTTCTCCCTTCCGAAACCCAACATGCCATTTCGTCGGTGAAAAATCGAGCATCACCAGATCCGGACAGGGTAAGACCAGAACACCTAAAGGACCTTCCGCTAGTCCTCGTAAACACTGGCTCGGCTCCTCACACGTTACCTGTCTGAATGCAAGGTCCTTAATCAGTGGAAGACCAGTGCGACCGTATTATTGTTCAACAAGAATGACCTGCACGACATCGGCAACTATCGCCCAACCTGCTTACTGCCTGTCGTCTACAAACTTTTCACTCGAGTCATCCTAAACAGGATTGACACTAAATCCACTAAACGAACGACAGCCATGTGAGCAAGCAGGGTTTCGAAGAGGATTTAGTGCGATGGACCACATCCGCACGGTAACACGGCTCACGGAAGTATCGCGAGGGTACAAAAGACCGTTCTGTCTCACCTTCATCGATTTACAAAGGGCCTTTGATTTAATTGAGATAGTAGCAGTCGTGGAAGCANACAAAAGACCGTTCTGTCTCACCTTCATCGATTTACAAAGGGCCTTTGATTTAATTGAGATAGTAGCAGTCGTGGAAGCACTTGACATTCAAGGAGTGCTTACTCAGTACATAAAGATTCTTCCTGAGTTGTAGAAAAATTTCACTAGCAAGATACCATTCGACGTCAGAAGAGCGGTTAGGCAAGACGATACCATCCCGCGGAAATTATTTACCGCCATCCTCCAGAACGCCATGCGAACATTGGAATGGGATAATATGGGCATGGTCGGCAGTTACATCATCTCTGCCATGCTGATGACATCGCCCTTATAGCACCAAACATTAGCCAAGTGGAACGTATGCTAGCCGAGTTTGATAAGGCTTGTGGAAAGATTGTTCTTTGACTAAATTTCACAAAAACGATCTTCATGAAAACGGATTGGTTTCGTATGCCCCATTGACGCTCAACGGTACGAATATGTCCGAATGCTCCAGTTATGTGTGTCTAGGTCGGAAAATCACTGTGACGAACGACTTAGCTCCAGAGCTGTGCAGAAGGGAACGAGTGGCTTGGGGAGCTTTGAAGAGCAACAAGGATGTGGTGGAGAGAACAAACAACACCCGACTCCGTACCCACCCTTTCGACTCAACAGTACTTCCTGCCCTAACTATGCGTCAGAAACTTGGTCGCTGCGTAAGCGTGATGAAGGGTCACTCAGCGTTATCGAACGCGCAGTCGAAAGGGCGATGCTAGAAGTATACCGTTCCACACAAGTAACGGATGCGATCCGAAGCTCCGATCTTCGTCAACGATCAAAAATCAAAAATGCCGTTCTGTACGCCAAACAGTCGAAGATAAGGTGATCCGGACACGTAGTGCTTATGAATGACAGTCGATGGACAAGAGCCGTTAGTGACTGGATTCTTCGGGATGTCAAA